AATGAAAATGTGTCAAAAACAGTAAAATAATGACTTTACCCCTATCTGTCTAAAAATACACTAGGAATATAGTGGTATCAGGGTTATCGGAGGTGCTTGAATCCTATTGATAGGAATTTCTTAGATTAATGTTGACGGTGACGGAAAAACCTTGTTTTGATTTGTTATTTTCTTTGACGATGAATCACAGTTTAAATCAATTTCAAGAGTTTCATAAAAAATTAACTGTACTTCTTTATGCAAATGTCAAAGTCCTCAGTCCCATACTTCTTGTTCTTTCGACATCTAATCAAGCATATGCCCGAGTCCAAAATTGTGCACTCTTTCTTTATTACTACAAAAACACAATTTCCCTTCTCTAGTATGAAGCCGTTGTAAAAAGAAAGCACTAGGAAACGTCTGACTTTGTGATAATGATGAATGACCGATTCAAAAAAATGAAAAATATGAACTTTTGCTACTATCAGGTGTACTTTGAGGAAGAAATATCAAAATAATTTGTTAAAACTTTAGTTTCTGAGGCTACCTTCCTTAATAATGAACAAATCCTTTCAGGAAGCTCGAGCACTACAGTACGCTGTGCCAGCGAACTGTTTACTTATCGGTGCTTTGTCCTTCATTCTTCCAGCAGGACCACTCTCAGCAGCTATGATGCTGGACGCTTTTCTTCTAGCTATGGCTGCTGTTGGTATTACCGGTAAAGCTGCAGTGCTCATTGTACCTAACATAGCTATTAAGGTAAGGCTAGTATCTGTTTTATGGTCAGCTTGGAAATGATTTGTTTAATTTCAGATATTATTGCTGCTCATAATGTTATTCATAGGCTGTGTTTCAATCGATACTTTTCATGCTAACTATTTAAAAGAATCAGCTGGGTTAGTCAACGACTCAGAGGTCAGGATTATGCTTTCTTTTATCCTATATATCTTCAAACCTTCTCCTATAAGAGCTTTGGGTGAAATTACCGCGATGAAAACAATATGGTGGGAACAAATTTTGTAGTTGAATCAAAAGTTATGTGTGCTATGAAAAGAGCATGAATTTTTCTCATATCTTTGCACTTCTTCTTGCATTTTTTACTCAGACTTTTCTCACAGGTATAGTGACCTATTTGTGCTGCTAAATCAGATCTTAAATTCCTTTTAGTATGCTTTTCCAGTATAAAATCCAATACAAAGTGAATCCCA